CATCTCTGCCTCAGATCCTCGTGGCCAGAAGGAGCCTCTGAGCCTGTCCCACAGGAAGGACAGTGACCCCCAGCACTGAGTGATGGCTCCCAACCTCCTGGGTGGCCTCCTCCCACCCAGCCTGGCTGTGACCCCCCTTCCCAGCTCCCCCTGATGGTGTGTGGCTGGGGACCCTGAGGAGGGCGCTGCTGCTTGGGCTGGGGCCACAGTGCTGGGGAAGTTGTGCCAGCAGGGAATGCCTTGGGACCAGGTCTTGGAGATGCTGTTTGGTCTGTGCAGTGAGGTCAGATTAGGTGGAGCTGGCTAAACACACGGGCACACACATCCTCACCCACATGTCCGTGTGTCTCACCCCTTTCCGGTGCACATGTGGCATGGCCATTCCTGCTCAGGTTGCTCAGTCGTTGACCCCCGTTAGATGCAGAGCAGATTTGTACAAAAAAAGCTCAACCTTGGGTTTAAACGGTGCAGGGCCGGGCGTGCCCCCTTCTTGCTGAGATGCTCCCACATCAACTGCCCTCACTGGGGGCCTTCAGTCTTTGTTTCTAGCTTGCCTAACTCAAACCCTGCTGTGGGACTCAGTGCGGACCCTTTCCCAAGCTGGGTGGCTGCAGGGCCATCCCAGTTCTCTCTCCACGCAGATGGATGCAGTCTGGGAGTGCACCTCCCCTTCAGTGCCCTCCACAAGGCTCCTGGCCCTGCCAGGCTATGCCAGATCTTTACCTATGTACCTGGCTCACCTCCGAGCCTCTTCCATGCAGTGGGTGTGGGTGTGGGTGTCAGAGATGAAAAAAACCACTGATCTCATCAGAGCCAAATGTAGCCACGAGGCGGAGGCTTGATACCAATGGCAAATCCATCCGTGCATCCATGGACTGCCCTGGACAAACTTCTGCTCTGTCTGGGACCAGGAGTGAAGCTGTTGTATGCTGAGCCACCCAAGGATGCCCCTACCATACTAGTAGCCCTGCTGATGTGAGTGGTGAGCTCTCCTCAAAATTACCCATCCTGGATGGAAAGCAGAGCCTAGATTCGACTCCTCTGATCCACAGGAGCATCACTGCCTGGGAAGGCAGCACAGGATCACCAGGGGGTGATGGAGCCAATATTGGCACTTCCAGGAGCTCAGCCTGAAGTTATGGAACCAAAGGCCACGTTTCAAGAAAGCTGCTGGGCAGGAGGAGCAGGAGGCGATGAAATGGTCTCCAAAGGGCAGAGGAGGGAGCCCAGTTCCCTGAAACAAAGCTGTGGGAGCAGACTGCTGCAGAGGGCCCTAACAGGGTCATATCACCCAGGTTTGTCCCACACAGGGGTGGGCACAGCTCCAAGGGGCTGTGACCAGAACACGGGGGTAGTCTCCTGGCCTTGAGTTCCCACCACCCACAAAACTGCTGCTAGTAATTGAATAGAGAAGAGAATTAATTGTGAGTGGGCTCCGTCTGCCCTCCCCGCTCCTCGTTTGTCCCAGGGCTACCTTGGCGCTGTGGGTAGCGAAGACAAGGTCATTCCCATGTAACACATCCCGGTGGGGTTTGGCCAAGTTCCTTCCCTTCGGGAGGGGGGCAGGTTAATGGTGAGTGGTGGGATCGCCCCAGGCTGCTCTGTGCTGCTCAGCCATGGAGGAGCTGCCGTTGCCTCTGAAACGCCCCATTAATGCTGTGGTCCCTTTGTGAAGGATCAGCAGGCAGGGCTGGGGGTGCTGGGCCGTGGGGCTGGGAAGGGTGAGGATGGAATGGGTTAGCATCCCTCTGGCTCTGCTGGGAAGCCTCCACATGTTTATTTTGGTGGGGGCAAAACCTGCCTTGTGGCCAAGCATCCTCCAGGCATGGCTGTAAACTGCTACAGGATCCTGGTAATCATGGCTCTCCATCATATGGTGTTGGAGGGGAGATGCTTGGGTGCAGGACAGTGCTACCCGCGCTCTGGTGTCCTCTTCTTTGCGCTAAGCCCGGCCCCATGCCAGCCACCCCACTGCCTACACTGCCTGTTCTCGTTCAAAGGCATCTCCGCTGCAGTCTCCCGGAGCCCGTGTGCCTGCAGAGGCAGATCTCCTCGCCCTCCAGCAGGCTCAGTGTTGCAGTGCGTGCCGTTGCAGGTGCTGCTCTCCTCCATCAGTCGGGATTAGCGCTGTGGTCCTGTCTATGTCCCTGTCCTGACAGGAGCAGGGAGCTGTGCCTGCCGGTCCTTCTCTGCGGGTGGCAGCAATGTCCTGGCTGCTCTTCCGACTGATCATTTCCTCTAGTAAAAAGATGTTCAAGCCAAATCTCCTGTGAGTGTTTTTCTGGCTCCTCCTCACCACAAATCCTTCCAGCCTCCTCTTGTGATGTGAAGTCCCAGTTTGCCCTTGTCTCCACTCACCCACTTTGGACAGGTTCCCCCCAAAGCTGGGGTTTGTGTTGCTTTCCTTGGCTTTGTCTTTCTGAAATTGATGCCAGTGGGGAGGTTTTAGGCTGATGCTCAGGGAGGAGCTGCTGACAGCTACACCTTGCTGGCTTTGGCCTCTCATGGAGAGCAGGGGCTTGCATTGCCCTGCAGGAGGAGAGGACCGTCTGTGGACCACTTCTGACCTGGCCTGGGCCAGACAGGGGTGATGCCCTAGAAGAAGCAGGCTGGAAGCTGGAGTTGGGACCTGTCTGTGTCCTGCAGATGTGCAAACGGACATCCTGGGAGAGAGCAGGGATGGTGCCGGGGGGCTCCTGGGTGTGGGATGTAGTGCTGAGGGTCACAAGGAGAATGGGGAGAAGCCCCCATAGCAGCCCCTGCTCTCTCTTCAGCCTCTGCTGTCCAGTGACACAGGCAGCCCCCTCCAAGTTCTCACAATTGCTCTCCTGCTGTCTCCTCCGTTCCCTCAAATCCTCTCCCAGTCTGCTCTCTGCCACACTGCAGTTTAGGCTGCTCCAGGAGCTGCCCCTATGGTTCCCAGCCGCCAGGAGGCTTTATGTGGGTGCAAGGGGGAAGGTTTGCGAGGAAGCCCGGACCCCCAGCAGACTGGGACAGACATCTCCATGTCCTGGTTCCTCTCTTAGCTCCTGCTTCTTGGTGTTGCAGCCCTGTGGCACCCTCAGCTTTATGGAAAAAGGGGTGAGAGGGCCGCAGTTCACATCTCTGGTGTTTGATGCTTCATCTGCAGCATTTAACATCCCTGAAGGATGTAAAACACATGAGCTATTCTCTGAGGGTAACACACTCCTGTGCCAGCCCAGCCTATCTGCTGAAGAAGGTAATGGAGCAGTGGAGCACCAGGGTGGGACCTGATGGGACCATGCTGGTAGCCTCCTCCAGGGATCACAGCCTGATGGCTGCCTGGAGCTCTGGGGACACAGCAGGTCCCCAGGTCTTTCTGCCAGGAGGGGATTTCTCCCACCAGCTCCATAGCAGCTGGTCTCAGGAGTGCAGGGCTGGGGTTTCTCTGCTCTGCAGGAGAGACAGACAAACCATCTAGCTTCAGCGCCTGGGGATGGAGGGGACCCTCACCCCATGGGCTTACCTCCAATAGCCTGCAAAGGAGCTGAGAGTCAAGCTGACATCCCTTGTGCTGCCTTGCACAGGAGAGAGGCTTTCCCAAAAAGGTTTACTTTTTACTTAAAAAACAAAAGGGGGGAAGTTGTCATTTTGGATGTAAACACGGGTGACCCCATGGTGGGTTGGGAAACACTGACGGAAGAAGGCAAATGCCTCTGTACACCCGACCTTCCTGCAAGGGAGCCAAGGCAGGAGCAGAGGTGGGATGAGCCCCGCAGCCGTGATGCTGCCATCACCAACCTGCTTGTGTCTCTCCCTTGCCCAAAGGTGGGGTAGGATGGGAGCTGTGGAGGCTTTGGCTGTGGGCCGAGGAAGGTTGGCAGGAGCATCGTCTGTCATCCGCTGTCAGGAGAAGTGTGGCCACCCCTGGGTGATCCCGCAGCAGCTTGATTACAGCCATGACTGGCACTTGAGCCTGTTTGCTGAGGGCAGGGGGCACGCGGCGCTGTCAGCTCGCTGCTGCCTCTGACCCCATACAGGGCACCATAAATCTCCCTGTTTAAGGCAGCCTGGGCTGTTCTGGACACGGTGGTGTTGAACATGGTGTGCAGCATACAGGGTAATGCACAGTCCGACACTGCGCCCACCAGGGGTAAAGCAGGGGTTGCCACTGGTGAGAAAGAGCAGCATCTGGAAAATAGGCAGTACCTAAATACCTTTGTTCTTTTTTCTATATAAAAAAGAAGGATTGCCTGAATTTGGGCATTGGGAATATCTAAGTACTGCCTGCTCTGGTTTTGCCTGTTTTTTCTTAGGCAACCTGGAGAGGTGGATATGGGGACCCACCTCACCCATTCTGTGGCACATCAGCTGTCCCCACAGCCTGACACAGAGGGTTTTTCTCCTGAGCATGTGCCGGACTGATGAGCTGACTGTGTGCTTCCCATGGAAACCTGCTCCTGCTTCAGCTGAGCACCTTCAGTACCTATTCTCCCTGTTTCTGTGGTGCTCCCAAAGGCTTGGCCCAAGACTTCTTTTGACATGCAGGAAAATCCCTCAGAAACGTCCTTCCAGCCTTTTGCAGTGAGAGAAAGGGAAGGGAAATGCACAAGGGACAGATTTCGTGGGAGATTTTGGCCAGAACAAGGCAGTTGCCTGCCCTGTGCTGTGCTAGCTGAGTATACTGATGCAGGGGCTAGTTTTCTCCTTGAGCCCTGTGGGGCCAGCCCAGGGATGGGGCAGTGCCCAGGCTCCACTGCCTGCCTGCAGCACCCCCTGACAGTGACAATGCTGTGCAAGATCAGGTGAGACTCTCAGCATCCCTGAGAGATCCATCCCGGGAGGTGACTGTAGGCAGTGTTTTGGGGTGAAATGCAGAGTGGGCAGAGGCCCAGGGCACGTGTCTGGGGCTGGTGGGTGCCAGAGCAAGGAGGAAAACGTGAGCTGTATGTCAGTGTGTGTGTGAGAGACAGAAATGTCCTGTGACTGCAGCTGGCATGTGCCTATGTGTGCTAGGTGAGAGGGGTGTATTTTGGGTGTAAGGGGAAGCAAAGAGGAGCGTGTGTGTCTGTGCTGGAGGGTGCAAAGTGCTGCATGTGTATTGGGGGTCTGTGTTTGTGAGGGGTGTGAATGTGATGAAGAGGGCTGAATGGAAAAGGCTGTATGTGAGTGCAGGGAAGGTCTGCACGGGTGTGTGTGTGAGGGCTGCGTGCATGCATGCGTGTGCAGGAGGGCTGCACAGGCGTGTGCAGGGCTGTGTGCGTGTGCGGCGGTGCAGCCCGCCGCTCTGTCACTCAGGCCGGCTGACAGGAGCTGCCTCTCCAGCGGCGGCAGATAGCGCTGATTGCTGATTCGAGGAAACAAAATAGCAATTGTAATTATGGGCTCTGATAAGATAAAGGAGGGCGCGGGGAGCGCGGGGACCGGCAGCGGGGCACGGTCGGCAAATTAGCAGCTGTCACTCAGCGCCGAGCAGGCGGCGCCGGCCCCGGCCAGGTACCGGCCCCGGGGGCCGCCCGCCGCAACCCCGCTGCAGCCCCCGCCCCGGTGCGCAACAGGTGGCGGGGCCGGGAGCGCCGGGGCTCGCCGGAACAATGCAGCCCTCGGCGGCCCTGCCCGGGCTGCGGGGCTGAGCCCCGTCCCGCCGCTGCTGCCGCTCGGCCCCATGGCCCCGCACCGCCGGCCCTAAGGGCTCCCGCCCGCCCCACCAGGTAAGCACCAGGCGGGGATGAGCGCGGGGAGGGGGGGGGTCCCGCTGCCCGTTCCCCGCCCCGGCTGCGGTATTTGCTCAGCCTCGCTCCCCCTCGAAACTCCTCCATCCCCCCGGTAATCCTTTTAACGTCTGGCACGTCCAGGGAGGGCTCACCCGCTCGGTCCCAATCCACAACGCGCCCGCGGAGCAGCGAACCCACAGCGGGGGAACCGCGGTCCCGCCGCCCCTTTCTTCTCCTCCCTCCCAGCCCTTAAACCTCGCTTTACGGATGGAGAAACTGAGGCACGGGGCGAGGAGGGCGTCCCGCCGGCGGCTGGCCGCGGAGCCCGGCCCTTAGTGCCAGCCCCGAGCCCGGCGATACCTGGCCCGCCGCCCCTCCGCTCGGCAGGTACCGCCAGGCTGGGGCGGGGAGCGGGGCCGGCGGGCCGGACGGGCTTCCCCCTACGGCAGCGGCGGCCTTCCCCCGGCCGCGCCCGCCCCTCCGTCGGGGCTGCGGGCCGGCCTCGCCGGCTCCCGGGGCGGCAGCGGGGCCGCGGAGCGGGGCGGGGGGCACCCCGCGGAGGGGGGCTGCCGGCCGTGCGCCCCGGGGGCTGGGCGGGCGGGCGGGCTGGCGGGGGCCTTACCCCTCTGTAGCAGCTTGTGCCCTCCTTTCCTCGGGGCGAGGACGCGCCGCAGGGCGAGAGGAACCGAGGCAGAGCTGCGCCGCACCCCCTCGGGCGCTCCCCGCCGTCGCCGGGCCCCGGACTCCCGGCCCCGCACCGGAGCCGCGATGGACCCCTGCTCCTCGCTCTTCAGCTACGTGTGAGTACCGGCAGCCCCGGCCCTCCCGCCCCGGGCCCGCAGCCAACCCCCGGCTCCGGTTCACACCTCTCTACTGCTTTCTCTCTTTCACCTCCCAGGTTAATGCACTTGTTCGTCCTCTGCTTGCAAGCCCAGGTAAGTGCCCGCTGGGCAGCCCGGCTTTGTTCGCCTCCCGGGGATGGAGGGTGCCCTGCCGCTGCCGCCGAGCGCCCCGGGCTCGGCAGGGAGGGACGGAGGGAGGGAAGGAGGAGGAACGGTTGAAAACCCAGGAGACAAAAGTAGCCCGGCTGTAAAAAGCCGAGGCCGAGGGGGGAACCCCCGAGACACAAAATAAGGTGCGGAGGACTCCGGCTGCGAGGCAGAGAGCATCCGGGGGTTCAAGGAATTGCGCAGGGTTATTTTTAAGCAGATTTATATCTCGTCCGTTCCAGCTTTAAACGTCACTGTGGATGCCCCCGTTCCTCTTGTCTGTTGTGGCATTTTTCTCCTGCGCTGCATCCCAAAAGTAAAGAGTAGTTAAAAAGGGGAAAAGAAGCCCCACCAAAACCTCACTAAAAGGCTCAAGTTCTGATCCGGCTTAAAATTGTCAGACCTCAGCATCGCTGGTTTGTATCGCCAGAGACACAAGTGTCATGAATAGATTAAACAGCCCGGGTAGAGCTTGTACGACACCCGCATACCAGTCGCTGGGACCCGTCGCTGGGAGCAGTGCGCCTTCAAACCGGGGTGAAGTCCTCCTTCCCCCGAAATCACAGGTGCAGAAGCTTTGTTTAAAATACCCTTTAAGCGGCTTCTTTTTATTTTCCTGGAAGCTTGGGGGAAAACATTATCAAGTTTCCAGCCGAAAAGCGAAGGGAATGAAGCGCTGGGAGTGTGCAGTTGTATAAAAACATAGCTGTAATATTTTGGAGTATGAGATGGAGACCAAATAGCAGCATGGCTAATGACCTCTCCTCCACATGGTACCCTCATCAGAGCCGGGGAGAGAATCCTGCTGCATTATCCAAAACCCGTCTATAGGAAACACACATGCACAGGCAGAAGCGGAGGCAGAGAGATGACATTGTCAAGGGGAGATATCTCTATAAAGCCAGCTTTGGGAGAGCAGTGGCTTTTGCTTTTATTGGGTTTTTCTGTTGTTGTTTAAGACGGGAGGAAACCTTCCCATTTGACGTGGGGGTGGCAGGGGGTAGTCCCAACCTTCTGATGTTGAAAGGAGCTATCTCCTAACATTTGCTCAGAATACATCTTTATAAATGTCAGGGAGCAGCGAAACTTTCCAGACTTAAAAGAGGGATTTGGGACCAGGAGGGGAAAAAGACTTCTGTGCAAGCTCGTGAGCCGGAGCTGAGGGGGGGGAGCAGGTTTGGCTGCTCATGAAAAGCATTTAAAGCCCAGTAGCAGCAGTGTCGGGTCTGGAAGGGTTGGGCTCAGGGCTAATGGGTTTGGTGTGCCAGGGCTGGGGATAACCCCACTGCTGGCACCAAGCAGCTGACTGTGGATAGGGCATGTGTTTGCATGGGTAGCATGTTGGTATCCTTGGGTTATTATGCCACAAAATACCTGGGCAGGGGCATGGTTTTCTTGTAATTGTTATACCTTGTAGCTCTGCTTTCTCTGTATATAAGGAGTTTAATAAGTGGGGTGTTTGGGAACAAATAAAGAGCACTGGGACCAAGAGGAAAGACAGCTTTTGCAATTGATGGGGCAGAAGCTAGGGTATATATCTGGGGCAGCTGAGCAGCAGTACACTCCTGCAGAGGCAAGATGTGTGGAATGAACATGCCAGCCCCTTGAGGATGGCAGCCCAGTGCCACCCTGCATGCCCCCCCCGGATCCCTTCCAGCTCCAAGCTTTGATGCCCATCTTGGATACCCCAGTGCCAGCTGGCACCCACTGAGCCCTGGGGTCACCAAGCCCTGCCATGCTCCCAGGTCACTTGCATCCTACTACTTAAGGCATGTCTGTAGCGGGCACGGCTCTGTAAAGGGCTCTTGCTGCTGTGTCCAGAGCTTAATGCTCCTTCTCCCTGGGAGGTTTTGCTGGTGCAGGTAGCACTGTGGTCCCGGCTTCGCGCCTCTCTGCAAAGCCCGGCTGGAGGCCGGCAATCTCGGCTCAGCCCATTTGACCCTCTGAGGAGTAGAGATTATAATGGTGTGTCGTATATTTTTTAATTTCCTAAAGGTAACTGTTCAGTCCCCACCTAATTTTACACAGCATGTGAGGGAGCAGAGCCTGGTGACGGACCAGCTCAGCCGGCGGCTCGTCCGTACCTACCAGCTGTACAGCCGGACCAGCGGGAAACATGTGCAGATCTTGGACAACAAGAAAATCAATGCGATGGCAGAGGATGGGGATGTGCACGGTAAGGATGCGCGATGGGGCGGGCAGGGGGGGTGCTGGGGAGGTGTTCACAGCCCAGCGTGGCGATTGATGATTTCCGTCCTGTTTGTTAGCCAGAAATCATTAAAATCGTTTGGCTTGTGGGGGCTTGTAAAGGGAGAACATAGGGGTCAGCGATCAGTGGCTCTGTGATTCAAGGTGAGGGCAGGTTCTCTGTGCTTGAAGGAGGGGACCGGTGTCTGCAGGATGGGCTTTACTCCTTTCTTTTTCATTCTTGTTTTGCACCTGACTCAGAGGGCTCAGGGCTGTGGTGTGATGAGCAACATCGGTCATTTCAGCCCAGCTCTCTTTGTAAGACTGGGAATCTCTGAGACTTCCTTTTGGAAAAGAAATAGAAAGGAAAGTTGAAAAAGAAAAGGCAGGGGGGAAGGGTGCACGGTTGCTTTGGAAGGCTTCCCAAGGCTAGAATTGTCCAAAGTGGCATCATTTTCCCAATGTGTCCCCTCCATCTTTCCCTTCTCAAAACAAATTCCAAGCAGAGGGTCACTGAGGCAGCTGGCTGTGGGTGATGATACTGTGGAGACAAAGCAAAGGGACTCACAAGCACAAAAGCCTGCGTTATGCCGTGGCTCTGGCACCCCCTCCCCAAAATCTCCACCAGCCCTGAGGCAGGGGGGCCAATCCCTCTGCTGGGGACACTCGAAGCCCAAATACTTTGGTAGCATGTGCTAATGACACATTGGGATAGTCAAAGGCTGCACTGAGGTCAGCGGGGCCAGAGAGCTGCTGGGCAGGTTGTGGGAGGCCTGATCCTGCACCTGGATCAGTGCACTATGTAGCACTCGTGTGTGTCCTATGTAGGAATTATGACTGTTTTTCTTTGGTATTAGCTGCAATTTCCCTTTCTTGCTTGGGGAGATCAGTAGAAACGCTCTTCTTCCTTCCTCTTCTGTTTTTTTGTGGGTGTTTTCTTTTGCTTTGCTGAAAATTTCACACTGGATGCGAGCAGTGCAAGCGCAGCATCTGTATGGTATTCCATACATTCAGCATTAATCTTCCAAATGAATTATTCCCACCCTGGAGCAGCTCCGGCTTGAAAGGGCATTAGCTAATTTCCCAAGCAAAAAAAAATCCCATCTTGTTTTAGATCTATAATGCTTGGATTTTAAAAAGCTGTTAGTGCATATTTAAGTAACGACCAGGTTTAAATAAGGCCAGGAGGAGGGGACTGGTGGTGGCTTGAAAAACTCTATTAAAACGTAATAAAGAAAGGTTAAGCATTTGAAGAGCTAAGGAGGAAAATGAAGACTGATCTAAACCAGAAAGAGAACAAGCAGTTTTTCAGATGTAAAGTTTTAAAAGAGTTGCAAGTCTGTAAATGTTAAAATAGAGGTTCAGGATTGTTCTATATGAATCTCTAGGGAGGCCCCCATGTCTGGAAGAACTATTAAAACGCTTCTTACTTTCACCTTTTTTAACATTTCCTGAATACTTTCTCCTCTTCACAGTCCAGTTGGGGGATCAAGTGTGTCTCGCTGCATTTTTTCAGTATTTACGTAGCCACTTTCCCTTCAAAGTTTGAGCATGAAACATAATTTTACTGGGATAAATCTGTCACTTAAGGGAAAGAATAGAATTGAAAATGTTCAGCTCCCTGCCCCCCCCCCCCCAAAAAATAAAGGAATAAAATAATAAGAAAACTGCCCCAAAACATTATTTAGAAATGCACTGCTGCAGCAGAACCCCCTCCCCGAGCCCTTCCTTCTGCTTTTTTTATCTCGTTTTTGGGGGTGGGCATGTAAAAGGGCTTGATTTATTTTTGCAGATGACCCCTTTCCCCACACTGACATTTTTACAGCCGACTTAACATGGAGTCCGGTGTTCTCTGTTATCTGTCTTAATTGTCAATATGTGATTGACTTTTTTAATTCTAAGGGAAGGTGGGCAGCCGGTGCAGCCCAGCTCATCCCTCCTGGGCTGTGCTTGCCACCGAGCAAACCACCACTGGCCACAGCCTGGACTGAATCCCTGTTTGTGGCTGGTATGCTGGCACAGGTCCCTGCTGACTTGCTGGTTTCATCTGCACCCCGGCTTTTCCGCTGGCTGGCGATGGGATTTGCAGGGTTCATGGTTTGCCTGCATGAGTCTAGGGGTGCAGGTCCCTGAGGACAGGTTGTCCTTGTCCTCCATGGCTGGTGGTGACAGAACATGCTGGCTGAGCTCGTGCAGGGCAGCAAACCCGGCTGGGGGGCTGTAAATCACAGCTGCTCTTTGAAGAGGGGGAAAAGGAGGAAAAAAAGAAAAAGGCCAAAAGAGATGGGATGTGCATCTTTAAAGGAGGGTTTTGTGCTCACTGGGGCCTCCCCGCTCCCTCCCACCCTCCTCTGTCCCTCCCTCCTCACTCTTTCTGTCTCGGAGAGAAAAATCAATTCTCCTCAAACCTTTTACTGCCTCCGTGATCAATTCCCCCCCTCCCTTTCCCCAATATAGATAAATAGGGGGTCACTGTCTCAGTGCTGCGTTTGCAGAGCGCCGCAGCTCCCGTGGGTGGTTCTGGGGATGCTGGGTGCGTGCCAGGCTCTGGGTGTTGGTGCTGGTGTGGCACAGCCTAGAGTTAGCTCTTCCTAAATGTCTCAGTTCCGAGTCCAAGCCTGTGCCTGCCTGGTGGCTCTGGGCACAGGGCAGTTTGGGGATGAGATGCTGAAGTGTGACATTGGCAAGGAAGGAGTGTGGGAAGAGGGTGCCTGCATGTGTATTGAGCCTGGCTTGCCCAGTAGCACCAAATCAGTCGGCCCCAGCAAATTTTAGAATGCCCTTTCCATTGCTCAACTCGGCTGCAGCCAGCAGTGCCCTCAGCCTTTGTGCTATTGACCTCAGCAGTGCCCGTGACATGAAGAGTGCAGTATCGGGGTCTCATAGAGACAGAGAGAATGCAGTTTGCTGCTCTCAGAGTGTGACTTTGGCTCATTTTAGCTTGTGCATGTGCCCACAGCCATCTTCTGCCATTCAAAGCATCCTCCTGCAAAGCCACCTGCTCCAGAGCCACATTGCTGCCCTCACTGGGGGTCTCCAGTGACTGACCATTCTGGGGTAGAGATGTGCAAGTCATGGCAGACCACAGTCCTGAGGAACCAAGCAGCCCTTGTGCAGAGATTGGGAAGGAGAAATAAGGCATCAGTGGGCTTATTCCCATAATAAGGCTATAGATTTGGAAGCTCTGTAGGCTGTGCTCTGATTTCCTTGCCAAATTTCACTTGTGGCACATTAACAGCCTATGGCTGATGCTGAGCAAGAGGTGACGGTGGCGAGACAGAACAGTCCTGGCTGGCTTTTCAGTGCCACCAGTAAATCTTTGATGCTTGGCACAGCCCTTGTGAGGTGTGAACGGGTAGCTTCCATCCTCACTGGGGCTTGCCCTGGGAAGAGGAGCTGGCTCTGGGGACAGCAGCTGCAGGGCTGAAGAGAAGGATGTCCTGTCCCCATCCTCCCCCTTCCCTGGGGATGGATGGGCTTCAGGGCTCGGGTTCCCAGGGCGAAGGCAGGGAGGGAAGGTGACAGGTCTATTTATAGGCAGCCCATCGACCCGGCGATTTGCATAGTTCCTTCGGAAGTCGATCGATGCCTCCATTAAAAAACGAGACCAAATCAATATGCCCTCTCGACTCGTGCAAAGGTGAAAGGCATTAAAAGGATGGCCGTACCCTTCACGCCTCCCCTGCCAGCTGCAAAGTCACTGCTCCTCCTGCAGCCCTGCCCCGGCAGGGAGACATGGAGTGGTGTCCCCTGGGCTGGGGACAGCTGGCAGCACGCTGTGCTTTTCCAGAGGGTGCCCGCCTCCTTGCTGCCTTGGTTTGCAGCGCAGCTGCCTTGCTCTCCACTGGCTGCTGTGTGCCCTGCCTCCTGTGACATCTTTGTGGCACCCGAGCCACTGAGCTCTATAGAGTGAGGCAAGGCAGAGCTATTCCCTCTCTAGCAAGGCTCAGGGTGCAAAGGGATGTGACCAAGGTCACGCAGGGACACAGTGACAGGGTAGAGGGGCTGAGGCTGGCTCTTCACCTTGTGCTCTGATTTTAGGGCTCTCTCTGACAGTCACCAGAGAGCACGTGCCCATAGGGTCCCGTGTCAGGGCACAGCGCTGGGGTCTCCATCCCTGTTCCTGCCCCATCCCAGAGCCCCTCTGATCTCCCTCTCTCTTTCTTCCCACTGCTCTCCCCAGCCAAGCTCATCGTGGAGACAGACACTTTTGGGAGCCGTGTGCGCATCAAGGGGGCAGCCACAGGTTTCTACATCTGCATGAACAAGAAGGGAAAGCTGATCGGCAAGGTAGGGTCCTGGGTCCAGGGCAAGCTGGGGGAGTGCTGTGGGCACTGAGAAAGTATTGCTGGAAGAGGAGCTCTTACTGAATACGGAACCCATCCATGGGGATGGGGAGGCGAGATGGGGGTGCGGGGAGCTCAGCTGGAGCACCCATTTGGAGGGCAGAGCATGAGCTGTCCTGCAGCCTGGGCAGCAGGAGGGAAGGGCAGGAGTGAGGGAGGCGGACGGGTGCTGTGTGGGGAGCATTCCTTGGATCTCCCCTAACAAATAGGCGGATTGCTGGGCTATTCTCCCTGATTACATGGTACAAGTGCCAGGAATGTTAAGATGCTCCGTGGGGCTGGCCCCAAAGCCGGGTGGTTAGTCACGCTCCTTCTGAGCCTCCATGCACCCTCCTGAGGAGCAAAAGGGGCTGGATGTGTAGCATCCTACTGGAACAGCGATTGTCTGCGAGGCTTTTCTATGGCAGCTCCTTTCCTGAGGCTGGTTGACTCAGGTTCCCTCCCTGGTCTTGCTGATGTCTGTAATGGGGAGGAATTCAGCCCCCAACTGCCTTTGTGCTCCCTGCCACCTGCATCTATTGGCATCATCCTCATGGACCACACATCAGTTCTCCAGCCCCTTGATGCCTCTCCTATATTGAAGACTGCAGAGGGGTTAGGATGGGTGGGTGAATAGCCACTGAGATGTAGACTTTGCTTATGGTCATGCTGGCAAGGGAATCAAGACCCTGGCATGGATGGGGACTGGATAGGAGTGGGCAAAAATCCTACTGTATAGGTGCAGTGGAAGTGAAGGCTGGGAGAAGCTGCGTTTGGGCTTGCAGCCCAGTGCTGGCATCATGATGGGGATACGAGCCACAGCGAGCAGCATGCCTGCTTCCTGCAGTTTTCTAAGGAAAAGCAGATTTGGGGCAATAGTGCCTTTTAGAAATAGTGGGAAAAGTGAGCTCTTGGCTGCCACCAGAACTGCAAACCTTGCTACCACACCGGTCAGTCCAGTTTGAGGGCGAAAGAAACCCCTCTGACCAAGCACCCATATCCCCCTTTGTCCCCTCCTCAGAGCAATGGCAAAGGCAAGGACTGTGTCTTCACGGAGATCGTCCTGGAGAACAACTACACGGCGCTGCAGAACGCCAAGTATGAGGGCTGGTACATGGCCTTTACCCGCAAGGGCCGCCCGCGCAAGGGCTCCAAGACCCGGCAGCACCAGCGGGAGGTGCATTTCATGAAGAGGCTTCCCAAAGGCCACCAGACCACCGAGCCCCACAGGCGCTTTGAGTTCCTCAACTACCCCTTCAACCGGAGAAGTAAAAGGACTAGAAACTCCAGCTCCAGGGCAGGCCCTTGATGTGCCTGCCTCTGCACCTCTCCTGGAGGAAATCTCCTCTGAGCTTGGTGGACTTACATGTAGAGACTTTCCCATATGGGTATTAAAAAAAACAAAACAAAAAAAAAAGGGGGGGAGAGGGGGGAGGATAACAGCTTACCTGCTCTAGTTGTTGATAATTGGGGGGGGGAGGGGGGGTGGTTTTTACAAAAAAAAAAAAAACAACAAAAAAAGGCAAAAAAAATGAGAGTCTCTATTTTTGTACTCCAGCTTTAAAAGGAAATGAAACATTCAAAGACTGGTGAAGGGGGAAGAGCCTTTCACTTAGATATGTTCTAGTCTGTTTGGGGTCATGCTTTATTTTGTAATTTTTTTTTTTGGTTTTGTAGCTCTAGAGGGGAAAAATAACACCATTTAAAATGAACAAGAAAACCTGGAAATGCAAATCCGGGAGCGATGTGCTACTTAAATGAACTGGACTAACGCTTACTGGATAAGCTGGAGCGGTTGGAAAACAATTGAAGGGAGGGGATTTATGTCAGAAGAGGTTGGAGGCTTCCCAGGTGGGTTTAGCAGCCTGGGTGACGTGGGGGCACTGCCTGTGAGGGCCAGCTGCAATGCCCCAGGGTGAGGACCACTGGATGCTTTCCTTCCTTAGATGCACCTCCTTCTTTGGCTGAGTGAGGGGTTGCTGGAAGCCAATGTCAGCCTTCCAAAAATGCTGTGGGCTTCACAACTCCCAACTTACTTTTTCTCAGGAGGGCACGGGGTGATGGATGCCCCAGAGAAAGTCCTGAACCAACTTGGTACCTCTGACCCACGAGAGCATCTTTGGTATTTGATTTGTTTTAAACTACTAAGGTGAGGCAGTAGCTGATAGCTGCCGTAGAGTGGGCTGGTAACTGGTGTTTTTTTTTTTCCATGTGGAAAATGTGAACAACTCACCAAAAATTTATATCTTTTTTTTCCTGTCTATATTTTTTTTTTTAATCAGATGGAAGTTTTCATCCATAAAATTAAAAGTTTACAAATTACCATGGAACCACTTCAGGCTGGTTTTGTTGTAACATTGTTTGTGGTTGGCATTTCCATTGTCAACCATCTCTTCCAGGTTTGCTCTTCAGTGAGGAATACCACTGTCCTTGTCCTCCTAGGAAAGGAGAGGTTTTCTTTCAAAACTCCTGTTTTGACAGATGCCAAATTTTCTATTTAGGAGAAAAAAGCCCCAAAGGAATCATTAAATCTCTTGAGTGAACATCCCCAACCAGCCCTGCTCTGCACATGCTGCCCTGGGACTGTGGCTCTCTCCAAAGGGTTAAAGCAATTACTCTTCAGGGGAGGGCAAACAAAGACACTGGATAGGAGCCAGAACCAGGGGTGACTTTTCATCCAACCTTTTTGGATTGTTTGGGTTTTTTTTCCTGTTTCCTTGAGGATTTTTGTTTTGGTTGTGTACAAATTGAATATGAAATGATTTAAATATTTATTTAATATGTGCATTAAAAATTTGTATTAGTCTAACTGAGCCTGATGCTTTCCAGGGAGGGGCTGGGTCTGGAAAGGCAGGTTGCAGAGGGGAGAAGGCCACTGAGGTGTAGGATGCAGTTGAGGGTGCCACTCGGCACAAGCCCCTTGCCAGTGGAAGAGATATGGGAAGTGAAAGGATGCCTGGAGATCTTAGACTCAGTTGAGTCTTGTGGAAATTGTTTTCCTTGCAGGAAATTCCAGATTTGATGGGCAGATGCCACCTCCTTGCCCTCTGGGAAAAGACCATTGAATGGGGACAGAGCTTTGACCACCATTTGTAAGCATGGGATGAGGCTTTCCAAGAGAGAAAGCTGATATCTGCTCCTCTCTGGTCTGTATGAGCTTGGTGTCTGTGCAAAGCAGGCTGTTGGGTCCCACCCTTTAGTGGATGCTGGGGTTTCGGGTCTTGCTCTCAGGAGCTGATGGGGGATTAAGCAATGAAGTGGCCTCAGATATGGAAAGGTGCAACAAGAAAAATGTTGTATATGTCTAGAAAAGAAAATAAATTGCAGACATGGAGCAGCCTTGCGAGGTGAGAGTCTTGCTGGTGCTGCCCATCCTTATGGGGTGCCTGAGACAATTGCTTAGTGCTCAGGGTGCCTTTTGTCTGTGGGGTGAAAGGATGAGCCATCCCCATTCTGATGCAGCAGGCTGGGCTGAGCTGTCAATAAATATCATTCATTTCAAGGAGGGAAGCCCAGGGGCTGAGTGTTCAGTCATGCTTCATGTCTGAGCATCGCTGCTGCACCACACAGCTCATGGATACTGCTTGGGCTGCAGGACAGCATAGACATCGCTTGCCCATCTGTTCCAAGAGGGACCCAAGGACTGCAGAAGCCTGGAGCCAACAGCTGGGCCAAGCCCATGTTGTGGTTTCCAGACTACAGGAACCAAAAGCGAATGGCTCCTAGCCCTACCCCTGGCATAGATAGTGTTTGATAGTCCTTAATGGGTACTTCTCTTTCAATAATTTAATTGCTTTTCCTAATGGCTTTGTGAACCTGGATGAATTGGTGCTGGTTGCAGCTCCAGGTAAGGGTATCAGAGTGGCTCCCTGCAGGTCAGCAGATGTCTCCTCCCTTTTCATCTGTCCCCCAGGGACAGTGATGGCAGGGAAGGGAGCAGCATGAGTGTCCATCCTCCAGTAAGGCTGCTCTCCCATCCCTGCCATCCCCAGCTGCAGCCGAGCACTAGAACACAAAGTACTCAGCACCCTTTGGGTTTGAGATGGAGATGGACACCTCTGTGTCTTGCCAGCTCTGTACCATCCCCATCTCCTGCCGCTGGCTCTGCCACAGCCTGCCTTTGCAAAAGGCACCCGGTCCTGGCTCCTGGGAAGCTTTCCTGGCTTGCTTGGTCCATGGTTAATTAGCCCCTTTTCATTAAAGGGCTTTTGGGTGGCCATGCAGTACTGTAAGTTGGGGCTTTGTTCATGGCTTGAATTTGTTCAGCTTCCAGCCAGCAAATGTTGTTTTGCCTTTGTTTGGGAGATTAAAGAGCCCACTACTAGTTAGTTAATGAGTAAGGGAATTAATTAATGGCTCCTCATACCCTGTTCTCTGCACTGATATTGCTGAGTCCCTGGCATGGCATGCTCTTCCCAGTGATCTGGGCCCTGCAGGGTCCTGAGTGCATAATCCTCCAGGGCTGGTAGCTCCCTGCAGGGAGATGGGGACAATCCCTGTTGGTACCTGCTATTCTTCCAGGGATGCAGAAACCCTGACTGCTGGTCAAACATGCAGGGTCAATCATCAGTCCAGGAATCTGGGACTTTTCCTTCCTCCTTCATCATCAGTGAGTGTGTGGACCCAGCTTGAAAATCACAGCCACCCAAGGACCCTGGGGATTGCAGGATGCTAAGGAAGGGAGGCTTTGGAGGTGGGTGTTTGCTTCCATCAACTCATCCTGTTAACATGAGTGTTTTGGGCAGAAATCCCTGCTCCAAGCTAGCAAGGGCCTTGAGACAGGGATGTGCTTGTCCCTAGCACCACCACTCCCAGTGTCACCCTGCAGTCCCCTCACTGGCAATGGCTCATCGGAGGGTGGTGGCAGATGAAGCAGGAGAGGGGCTGTACTGCCTTGGCTGTTGGTGCAGGGATGACTACCCCATCCTCAGCTCCAAGCAGCAATGCATGCGTGACCCTGCACATACAGGACTTTGCCACGCGATGCCACCTGGATGCAGGGACAAGGCTGGAATTGAGGGACGTTTGGGAGTGCCTAGTGAGACAAGACTGGGGCTCCCAGTCAGCCAGCATGGGATCCAGTGGGGAAAGTAATTGTGCGATGAGCACACCAGGGCAACACCAGGCATGGAGGAGGGCTGTTTTCAGGTTAAATGCGGCTACGGCAGAGCAACAGTAGACTGGCAAGAAGAAATCAAAGTGGCAAAACAAGGGGTCTGTGCTGTCTGAGCAAGGGCCGCACCAGGGCTTGGTCCACCAAGCCCCAAACCTTTTGACACGTGCTGTCTCCACTTCTGTCCTTCTCTCACTTCACAACTGAGGTCAGCTCAGGAAGGATGCCCACTGAGCTGGGTGGCCTGTGTGATGCTGTGGAAGGGTTGGAGCTTGCACGGACCCCCTTGGCATGCCCTGGCTTGGGAAGGAGGGCTGGGGTGTTTGTTTATTGCATCAGGCTCAGCTTTCAAACATCTCCCTGCCATCCCCCTCCCCCTCCTTTAATTAATTCTGGGTAAGAAGTCCTGGCTTTATTGTGCCACCGAGCTGAGGGCTCCCTGTGGGAAAAGTCACACCTTCTGAACAGCTTCTGATACCATGCAAATGAAGGACAAGTCCAGGAAACGCTTTCATCTCGGACCTGTCCAGCCCCCTGCCCATTAATTACACACATTTCATTTGTGTGAGAGCAATTCCTCTCGAGGAGGAGGCGGGGGACAGCCACGGCTTGTGGATCATCTCGGCCGCCCTCTAAAGAACACTCCTTGGAACGGGGTTTATAGCCAGAAAAGGGGATGCTCAGGGTCTCAGTGGGGGATCCTATATTTCTGCTCTTACACAGACACTCCAAATCAAACTGCCTTGTCAGTGGGCCACATCCTGCCAGTGGGAAGGGCTCATTACTGCCCCACACCTTGCTTGGTGCCAGCAAGACCTGGCTGTGTACCCAAGTGCCACTGGAGTAACCTGGAGGGAGGTGCAGAGTGGACTAGAACTAAGCTCAGTGTTTACCCAAGGGAATGACTCTCCAGGACCAGGAGCTCGTGAGATAGATAACTTTGGGCAGGGTGGCCATAAAATGAGTCTCCTGTAGGAAAACATCATTCCACACTGCTACGGAATTGCATGTGCTGGGGGACTGCATCACACTGGGACAGGGCACAAAGTACTCTTGGCCACATGTGGACCAGACCCAACTCCTGTTGAGCCTTGGTCTATCTGTGTTCCTCACAGTGCCTCTGACCAAAGGCACCTCCTGACTGGCTCCTGTGTTCCTGGGGCTGATGGGGAGAGTGAGGTCCAGGTCCTGGAGAAGGCACAGAG